AATATTCGTATATGTTCAACATTCACCATTAGTACATGGTGAATGTCGACATTCACCGGTAAGTCAGAAATAAGAATATTTGGAAAACATTTCGGACATACACCAAGCGACTATGTGAATGTTAACATTCACCGGTGAATGTTGACATTCACAGGTGAAAGTCGACATTCTCCAGATTTCGGTGTTTCACCGTAACATATATAAACACATATATAAAGTTAATATTAAATTGAAATCAAAGCAAGGCAATTCCTCAACAATACTAATAATTGCAACCTTGTATAAGAGGTTTAACATAATATCAAAACAAATCAAAACTAAATAAGAATTCATAGTAGAACAAACTCGAAAAATAAAAATACGAAAGGGAAAATATACAAATTATAAAAATATAAGAATTAATCTTCTTTTATTGAAACTCCAATTCAGAACTAACTCATCAGGAGAAAATGAATCAAAGCTTCATAAAAGTCGATTAATACGTTTTGAAAATATGCTTCGTTCTCGTGGTCCATTTGAGATCAAAAAACCGTAAAAAGATTTCATCAAATTTTTATTAAATGCTTTAAAAGTTCATATAAAACCAAAAAATCGAATCTCAAATGTACCAAAATTTTTCTTACACGCTTTCGAAACACTTGGAAAAAAGAATAGAACACGTGTTAAAATACTTAGTTCTGCTACTGGACAGTTTGAACTTTATCGCCTGCTTTTTCCAAGAACTACAAAATTTTTGCATCTCCAGAGCAGCTTTGAATTCTACTTTCTTTGGCAAGGAACACAGTTTCGTCGTCTTCAGAATTAAGTTAGTTTGTAGATACATTCCGATTTTTTGAAAGCGGGAAAGATGAAATATGAGCAATGTCCTTGCCGGGACTCGAACCACGGATCTCTACGCCGCCGAGCGTGCTAACAACTATACCACGAAGCAATGCCAAGAAGGCGAAGAAATACATTATATACTGCCCCTTTTAAAGAGCGACTGGGGATTAGGGAACTCAATCGCCAAATCCTGGTGGTTCGGGCTCCACTGTAGAGTCATTAGGTTATTTAGAAACAGGACACATGAAAAATGAGCAATGCCCTCGCGGGACTTGAACCACGGACCTCTCGAATACGCGCCGAGTGTGCTGACCATTAAACCACAAAGGCATGCTAAGAAAGCGGGAGAAATGCCTTATATACTCCCTTTTAAAGGGAAACTGGGTATTAAGGACCTAATCACCAACTCCTGGTGGTGGAGAATCAACATCCATCACCTTTTGGTTCGGGCGCCACTGTAGAGAAATTAGGTTCTTTCGAAACAGGAGACATGGAAAATGAGCAACGTCCTCGCCAGGACTCGAACCACGAACCTCTCGAATACGCGCCAAGCTTGCTGACCACTACACCACGAAGGCATGCTAAGAAGACGGGAGAAATACCTTATTTATAAGTTTACGTCCTTATAAGAAGGTGGTCTGAAGAATTCAGTAAGTTTGCTTTTTTTTTTTTTTTTTTTTTTTTCCAATTATTGTTTCAGATAAGCTTTTAGTTTTTAGCTGTTTAAGGCTCAGATTAGATTTTATTTTTTGAAAGACATTTCTATGAAAAATGTTTTCGTTATCTTGGTATTAAAAGTTTAGTTTAACATAATCGGGGACCAATCAATTTTGGAGTATTGTTTAAATGACAATTTGGTTTAAAGTATATTTGTTTTGCTCTTTATTTGTAATTGCTTTGGAATTTCGGATTTGCATAATTATGGTTTTAAACCAAATTGTTTTTTTTTAATGGTCAATTTGCATAATGTAAAGTTTTATGATTTTTTGAGTAGTCAATTTCGCGCAATGTTATGTTTTATTCTTTTTTCCAAGTGTTTTGAAAGCGTGTACGGAAAATTCTGGTAAATTTGAGATTCGATTTTTCGGTTTTATATGAATTTTAATGTCTTTAATGAAAATTTAATTAAATCTTTTTACTGTCTTTGATCTCAAATGAACCAAGAGAACGAAACATGATTTCGAAACATATTAATCGGTTTTCCGAATTGGAGTTTCAGTAAAAGGAGATTAATTCTTACATATTTATAATTTGTATATTTTCCCTTTCGCATTTTCATTTTTTGAGTTTGTTCTGCTATGAATTCTTATTATTTTTTTTTTTTTTGACATTATGTTAAGCCTCTTATACAAGGTTGCAATTATTAATATTGTTGAGGAATTGCCTTGCTTTGATTCCAATTTAATATTAACTTTCATGCTTTAAGTTTATTTTACTTCAATCCTGCAGCTTATACCGCAGGACGAGTTTAAAAAATTTTGTTTCTATTTTTTTCATATAATTATGTTTCTTTTTGTACATATTTTGTATATATACATATATATATACACCTATACATATACACATATATCACAATATCCATATACACATATACATATACACATATACATATACACATGAACAATAGTATACAATAATATACACATATACAATAATATATACATATATATACATATATAATATTATATATACATATATATATACAGTACAACACTATACACATAATATACAATAGACACATATATACATATACACATATTACATATATACATATACATATATATATATACATATACAGATATATATACATATACATAATATGTATAGGTGTATATGTATATATGTAATATGTATCTACATAAAGAAAGAGAAAACTATAGAAAGAGAACAAAACAGAAAAACGAAAAAGGAGAAAGACGAAAGAGAGAGACAAAAGAGACAGAGAAGACGAGAGAGAAACAGAGAAAGAGAAAAGCGAGAGAGAAACAAGTAAAAGAGACAGAGAAGAGAGAAACAGATACAGAGAAAAGAGATAGCAAAGAGAAAGAGATATGAGAAATAGAAGAGAGAGGACAGATAAATGATAGAGAGAACATATATGAGAAAGCAGAAAAAGGAGAAATATATGACAGATACAATATATACAGAGACATATATGACAGGAGATAGAGACAGAAGAGTATTAAATATATAGACATTAGAAGATAGATAGACACGACATATACATATAACATATATACATAGACAGATGAAATATATATATAAATAGAATACTAGACATTCTATATACATATACATATATACATAGAGACACTAGACAGATAGACATATACATATATACATATATATTCTACATATACATCAGATATATAGTATACATCTGACATATATAAACATATACATATATACATATATATTATACATTTAACAGATAGATATACATATCTACATATTATATTATATACATATATACTATATATATACATATATACATATATATGTATATGTGTATATGTAATAGGTAGATAGGTATTGTATAGATGTAATATGTATATGATGTATGTTGGAGTATGTATGTATCTACATAATACTATACACATCACACATACACACATACACACATACACATACACACATTACACCACATACAAAATACACATATATATAAACCAAAATATACAGATAAATATCCATAGAAATATAGACATATACCACATATAAATATAAAAAATATACATATACATATATACTATAATATATAAAAGAGACACTATAATAACATATTTAATAGACATTATACATATACATAAACATATATACATACAGATTATATCATATATACATATATATATCCATATACATATACACATATACATTAATATGTATTGTATTATATGTATATGTATATGTAATATGTTGTATAGTATTATGTATATGTATATTGTATATGTATATGTATATGTAATATATACATATACATATACATAAACAATTACAATAATATTAATCATAATACATATACATATATATGTATATGTGTATGTGTATATGTATATGTGTATGTGTATATGTGTATATGTATATATGTGTATATGTGTATATGTATATGTGTAGATATATATGTATAGTTATTAAATACATACTACATACATTATATACATATATATATACAGTAGATATATAGAGACATATATTCTAAATATATAGAAATAGACATATACATATTACATGAGATAATATACATATAACATATAAATTACATGATATGCTATATATGTTAGGTAGATAGTAGATGGATATATGTATATGTATAGGTAGATATATACATATACATATACATATACATATACATTACATATACATTATCAATAAGATAATTATACATATATACATTACATATATACATTACATATACATAATACATTTACAGAATAGGATATGTTATATGTATATGTATAATTATACACCAGATACATATTACATAGACCACATATACTATACACATATACATATATATGTTATGTGCTATATGTATATGTGTATATGTATATGTGTATATGTATATAGGTATATGTGTATATGTAAGTATATATTATCTGTATATGATATGTAGATGTATATGTTATATGTTAGAGAGGGAGATGGAGATCGGAGAGGGAGATGGGAGGTAGAGGGAGAGGGAGAGAGAAGGGAAGAGAGAAGATATATAGAAAAAGAGAAATATCACATATACAAAAAGGACACATAGAAACAACTAAACAGAAAAACTAACAACATACACATACACAGAGATCACCACAGAACACATTACATACATATAAAAATACACACAGTATACATATACAAAAACCAATACACATAGAGACATAGACAAATACCACAATACACATATATACATATACCATATTACACATTAAACATACAGAAATATACACATAACATACACATATACATATATACACATAAATACACATATATACATATACACAACACATACACATAGATAAAATATACATATATAACATATACATCGTACATCTACATTATATTATGTACTATGTATATGGATATGTGCATATATAGATGGAATATGTATATACATATAGACGAGAGAACAGAGTAGAGAGACAGAGAGACCAGAGACAGAGAAGTAAAGGAGACAGGAGACATGAGATGAGAAAGAGATACAGAGGACACCAGAGAGAGAGACAGAGAGACAGGGAGAAAACAGAGCAGACAGAGAAAGAGAGAGAGAACAGAGTAGACAGAGACAGAGAGAGAGAAATGAGAGGACACAGACAGAGAGAGAAGGAGAGAAGAGACAGAGAGAACAGAGGGGAAAAGAGGACAGAGAGAGACAGAGAGACAGAGCAGAGAGAGAGACGAGAACAGAGACAGAGAGAGAGAAGGAAAGAGAGAGAACAGGAGACAGAGAGAGAGACAGAGACAGAGGGAGAGAGAGACAGGAGAGACAAAAATAACTGAGAAACAAAATATATAATAGAGATACATAGATGAAAAACATAGACGAGAGAGATACATAGATGACACAAAACATAGAGCATATATATACAGAGATACACCAATAAGATATATGACGAGAAATATAGAGAAAATCATAGAGATATACAGAATACACACCAGATATATAGAGACATATATACAAAAACACGATATATTAAATACATAGAGACAAAACATCCATATAGATATACAAATATAGCACATTACATATACATACATATACATACATATACATACATATACATACATATACATACATATACATACATATACATACATATACATACATAGACATACATACATAGACATACACATACATACACATACACATACATATACATAGACATACAAACATAGAATTACATACATATATACATACCACATACATAGACATACATACATAGACATACATACATATATACATACATAGACATACATACATAGACATACATACATATATACATACATAGACATACATACATACATACATACATATATACATACATACATACAATCGAGATAAAACGAAAGAAAGACAGAAGTAGAAAGCAAGAAAGAGAAAGAAAGAGAAAGAAAAGATAAGACGAGAAAGAAAGAAACCGAGAAAGATACGAGCAAAAAAAGAGATATGAGACGAAAACAAGTACCTAAGAAAAGAGTATTGAAAAAAAGAAAGAAAGACCTGGGAAAGTAAAACCGAGAACAAAAAGAGAGAAAGGGCGAAACGAATGACATGAGAAAATATAAGAGAAAGAGAAAGAGAAGAAAAAACATGAGAGAAAGAGTAAAGAGAGAAAAAAAGAAGAGAAAAGAGAAAAAGAGAGAGATAAAAAAGAGAGAAAGAGCAAATGAGAGAGAAAAAAAAGAAAGAAAGAGAAAGAGAGAGAAGAAAAAGAGGAGAACAGATGGAGAAATGAGAGAGGAAACACCATGGAGAAAGAGAAAGAGAGAGAAAAAAAGGAATAAGATAAGAGAGAGAGAGACAAAAAAGAGAAACGATGAAAGAGAGGATGAGAAAAACAGAGTAAAAGATCCCTGAAAGATTTGAGAGCAAGAGAAAAACTATGAGAAAGAAAGAGAGAGGAGGGGAAAAAAAGAGGAAGGAAATGCCAAAGAGAGAGAAAAAAAAGCAACCAGAAAGAAGAGAGAGAACAACAAGAGAGAAGGAAAGTAGAGAGAGATGACAAAAAAAGAGAAAGAAAGAGAGAGAGAGAAAGAACAAGAGAAATGAAAGAGAGAGAGAGAAAAAAAGACGAAAAGACAGTAGATGAGAGAGAATAAACGAGAAAGAAAGAGACCGAGAAGAGGAAAACTTACCCGGAGAATAGTAAAAGAGACGAGATAAACAAAAAGAGAAATAAAGAGAGAAGATAAGAGAGAAAGAAAGATCGAGAAAGCAAGAGACTACAAAGAAGAGAGCTAAAGAAAAGAGAGAGGAGAAGAGTAGAAAGGAACGAGAGCAAATAGAAAGAGAGAAAGGAAAGAGAGCGAGAGAAAGAGAGACAGAAACGAGCAGATGCAGAGAAAGAGAGATTTAGAAAGAGAGATTATAGCAGAAATAGAGAAAGAAATAGAGAGATCCGATAAAGATGAGAAAGAAAGAGAGAGAGAGGATAAGAGAGAAAGAACGGAGAGAGAGAGACCCTTCTTAAGACCGAGAAAGAAAGAGAGAGAGAAAGAGAGAAAGAAAGAGAGCGAGAGAAAGAGAGCCCAAGAAAGAGAGAAAGAAGAGAGAAAGGAAAGATAGAAAGAAAGAAAGAAAGAAGGGAAAGAGAGAAATAAAGAGAGAAAGAAAGATAGAACGACAGGGAAGAGAAAGACAGAGTGGAGAAAGGAAAGATAGAAAGGAGAAGAGAGAAAGAAAGAGAGAAAGAAAGAGAGAAAGAAAGGAGATGAAGCAGAAAGGAGAAGAGAAAAGAGAGAATTAGAGAAAGAGAGACAGAGAAAGATGAGAAATATAAATAGAGAAATAGAAAGAGAGACCGAGAAATAGAGACGAAACGATAGACAGAAAGAACGCATAAAGAAGAAAGAAAGAGAGAAATGACAGAGAAGACAAGAGAAAAGAGACATGACATAGAGAAAGAACAGATCACGAGAACAGAAAACGATAGAAAGATAAGTAGAGAAATAAAGATAGACAGAATACAAGATATCCAATACATATGCATATCAGAAAGGAATATACCATAAAGATATACAGATACATAGAGACCTATAATATATTACAGATACATATATACATACATATATACATACAAGACATAGAGAAAGACATATATAATACCTATAGATATAGACATATATACATACATCATATATATACAGTATTATACATACACTATATATATATACATAGATACATACATAATATATCTAATATATAATACATCTATATATTATACATATATACTACATATATATTACATATATACTAAATATATATACATATATACCTATAACAAATACATATACGTATAGGTGTATTGTATATATGTATATGTATATGTATATATATGATATAAGTATGTTCTATATGTATATATATATATATTATGTAATATGTGTATATATGTATATATATGAGAGAGATATGAGAGAAAGGAGAGATGAATGAGGATATATTATGAGGGATGAATAGGATGAAGAGAATATGATGAGACTACAGATACAATATAGACGATACAATACAGAGAATATACTATACACCATATACACATATACACATATACACTATATACATAGACACATATATACATATACACATATATACATATACACATATATACATATACATATATACACATATATACATATAAACCTCCACATATATTACCTATACACATACACAATACAATACGTAGGAATTTACAAATCAATATTTTAATAAGGATTGATTGGATTATTTTAATTGGCAAAGCACACGGGGCTATCTGCCTAAAGGGAGATGCCTTCGTGGAGGATTTTAAAGGAAACTCTCGTTACACGTTACACATGGGGAAAACCACGAAAATACCATCAGCCCAACCTCGGACCGACTACCAGTGTTCAGCGACGTAAACCGCTCGGCCGCGGTGGGCCTATTAAAAAAAAGCGACGTTTCCGAAATACCAAGTTCCGTACTGCATTTGCTAAATACACCACTATTGACTCAAAAAGCGGGATTCCAAGCTGCAGAAATATCCCACATATTGACCGGAAAGACAGATTCTTGAATCAAAGAAGAGTTAAAGATTAAATGATCAAATTTTTATTTATTTTTATTTATTTATTTATTTTCAAATATTTCAATACCAGCAATAGATGTGGAAAGTTTCTTTAAATTTCGAAAACATCAAAAAGCACTTATTTATTCAGTATAACTTAAATACATTTTTGGAAGGTTTGGTAAATGTTTGGACTTAAATCCAACTGTCAATGTTTGGCAATTTTTATATTATTTTCACTTCTTTGTACAAAGTAAAGGAAGCACTGTAATCGCAAAAAAATTCAAGTTTTAACGTATCTGACTATTTTTTACGCGACTTCTGTAACTATATACAGAAGTCATGTAAAAAATAGTAAGAATGGGACAGAATAAAAGAATTTTTATTCCAAAAGGGATTGTAAAATGGCTTCAAAATGGATTTTTCTAAGACTACATTCACGTACGTATCACGCATCTCCTTTTTTTATTGCAATCGACAGTACCAAAAGTATTGTTACGATTTTCTATAATTAAGCATGAGCGGCCTGAAGAAATGCAAAGCTTTGAAGGAAAAATAAAAATACAGGACCAAGTCAATCAAAACATTAGGCAAATGGCTATCTCGCTAAGTTCGCGAGATATTGCCAAGATAGCGAAGGTTTGGGTGACTAATTTTTTTGTAGCCCAGTTTGCCGAGAAATCCCCAAAATCACCAAGCTTGGCGACCATTTGGAGACATATTGGTCCAGTCCTTGTATAACTGTAATTGATACTGTAGTTGAATAACTATGATTGATCCCTGTATGTAACTGTAACCGTATCTGGCCTTTATATGCAACTTTAACCGCATACGTCTTCCAGCAATTTCGAGAAATAGAAGGTAACGAAAATTCCTCGACGGCCGGCAGAAAAATATGTAAGACCAAAGAGAGGATCAGTCAATTTTTAGTGCAATTTTTAGTGCAGAGTTGCATTCGCAGTACTAAGAGATTTCCGAGGGGCTTCCGCTCTTTAAATGTGCTTTATACTGCGTTGTGTTTAATGTTTTTAGTAGTACTAAGGGTTAACTTCTGACTCTGCTGTGATACTGTGAAAAGCTGTACGAGTACTTCTGTGCAAAATTCCAGAACTGTAACGTCACGTGTAAGTAATGTTTGGGGTCAATGTCAAACGTGGTGTTGAATGGTGGTGACAAGAGCGATTGATGAGAAATTAATACAGCTGGTGGGAACCTTTGCTGCATTCAAGGGAGAAATGAAAGCGGGCCAAGAAAAGATGGAAGGGACACTCAAGTCCCTTAAAGAAGAGAAGAAAGCAGGCCAAGGAATGATAAAATCAGGTCAAGAGGAAATTAAAAGGGAAATTAAACCCATAATCGGAAACAAATTTGAAGTTTTGGAAGGCAGAATAAACACGGCTGAAAACAGAGTTTGAGAAATTCAAGAAAGTTTCTTCTGTCGAAGAAAAAGTATCTTCCGTCACAAAAAATTAATGACTGGTTTTCTGCTGCTGTCGTAAAGGAAGCTTAATGAAATCCATAGCGACAATTCTGCTCTGATGCCTTTAATTTCCTAAACATCTCTAATCAGGCATTCCTAAAGTTATCCATTTATGATGAAAGACCTTCTTGCAAGGCTGTAAGATTTCTATAGTGGCAAACGCAAATGGAGGGAATTCCAATGCTAAAGCCTGCAATCTCGCGGCTTCTCTGAGAGCAGATGCAGCGGACATCCAAATTCTTCTCGGAAACCAGAGGCGCTCTATCTGGCGCGTTGGTGAAAAGCGTTTAAGAAGCTACAGCAGTCATTGCAGAAGCTACAGCAGAGATGTGTTTAAGAAGCAATTGTGTCATTTTTTCTATTATTTTCACTTAAGTTAAAAATCTCGGCAACAGAAGTCCACGGAAACACTTCAAGCTGTGTCCAGGGATACAGTTAACATCACTTTTGGGAATCATCAACCATCACATGGCATTGTGGCAAATATCATACAGCCTTGTATAATCGGATTAGACTTTATCATTGACGTTGGCTAAAGGAATAGAATTTTTCCTTGGACTTTAAAAATAAGGAACTCCATTCTGCCTCTGAGGAGACTGTTCGCAATTAATGATGAAGGAGCTAAATCTGTGCAACAATTCATAGCTCAAGGACAAAATTACAGCACCAACTACAACAGAATTTTTCCTACCTGGATCCGAAACTGAACACGGCAATTTCGGGCATGGCATAATGGAATGTCCTAAGAAATTGATACCCTGGTAGAATTACTAGTAGCCTCGGCACTCGCCGACGTGCCGAGGACCGACATCCCGATGAGAGATGCCAACATCAATAATAAAGGGAAAGTTAGTAGAAAAGGCGATGCGGTTGCAATATATACTCAAGTGATCTGCATTAAACGAATCAATACTCCGCCAATCTCTCACTTCGGAGAGCTTAATATCTGAGTTATTGCAGCATGCACCATTAAGCGATAAAGAGAGTAGTGCCACCGAAGGTGTTTTTCGAGAATTTCAAGATGTTTTCTCCCGCGTATCTCCTGACATACGTTGAGCCACTTTCGCTCAGAAGAGAATTGAAACGCGAGATATCCACTAATGGAACAGCATCCAAGACATCCACCGATTGCTACACAAGAAGATGTAAGAAAACTTCTCTAGGGCATGCAAGAAAGTGACCTTATCAAGCCTTCAGTAGGTTACTAAACCTCTCCCATCATCCTGGCGTGAAAAGAAAGATAGTTTGACTAGTTGGTTGAATCGACTGTTGAACGAGATCACGAAGAACGACACTTATCCTCTTCCTAGAACAGATGACATTCTGGACACTCTTTCTGAAAGCAAGTGGTTTTCGACCTCTGATTTAAAGGAAGGATATCGGCAGGTAGAAATACATCCTGATGACCGAGAAAAGGTAGCATTTTACTACTGGGCAAGGATTTTCATTTCAAGGTGATGCCGTTTGAATTATGTGATCCGCTCGCAACATTCGAACGCCTTGTGGAGACCGTGCCTTAGAGGTTTAAGAAGCCTTTTTGACGTACTTAGATGACATCAGTTCGTCGGGAAAAGTTTGAAGAGTGTTTAGAAAATATTAGGAAAGTGCTTCAGAAATTGAAAGAAGCTAATCTAAAGTTAAATACTGTCAAATGTAAAGACTTGTTCAGACACAAAATGACTTACTTCGTACATGTCATCTTTGCTGAAGGTGTGTGTACGGATAAAGAAAAGATATCGGTAGTGAAAGACTGGAGACGCCCAGAAAATGTTCATCAGCTAAGAAGTTTCGTGAGGCTTTGACCCTACTACAGATTTGTGAGACTTTTTTTCTTTTGCAAGGCCCGTTCAAAAACTGACAGAGAGCAAGCAAAAGTTATTGTAGACGAGCGATCAGTGAGAGTGTCGGTGCTGTTTCATCCCAAGAAATAAACGGTCAAGAACGTTTCGTGGCAAACTAGAGCAAGTGTCTATCTAAACTGAAGAGGAATTACTGTGTCAACCAGAAAAGAGTTACTCGGCATAGTTAAAGCCATAGAACAATTTTACC